AACAAGAAGGCATAGGTTTAAGGTGACAGGGGAAAGATTTAAAAAGGGACCTAAGGGGCAATTTTTTCCACATGGAGGGTGTTGCATGTATGGAATGAACTACCAGAGGAAGTGGTGGAGACTGGTACAATTAAAGCATTTAAAAGGAATCTAGGTATAGAGCTGGATGAACACAGCAGGCCAAGCAGTATCAGAGGAGCAGGAAGGCTGATGTTTCGGGAAGGGTCTCGGCCCGAAACGTCAGCCTTCCTTCTCCTCTGATGCTGTTTGGTCTGCTGTGTTCATCCAGCTCTACACCTTGTTATCTCAGATTCTCCAGCATCTGCAGTTCTTGCTATCTCTAAAAGGAATCTAGATGGGTATATGAAAAGGAAGGGTTTAGAGGATTATGGACAAATGCTTGCAAATGGGACTAGATCAGTTTAGTTTGTCGAGTTGGCATGGACATGTTGGACTGAAGGGTCTGTTTCCATGCTCTCTAACTCTGTGCCTATGTTCCTGCTGCTCTCCATATCTGCACAGCCCTGTGACTTTTGTTAAATATACTGCTACTTCAACAGTTTCTAATTTTCCTATGGGTTGTGCAAGTCATGTAGCTTTAGTTTAAAAGCAGTGAAACAAAATAACTATTTCAAATCTTTATACACACCCTTAATGTTCGCAGGTTGGTTTTCCTGTTAGATTTTCTTTTGCCTGCTTTTACTATTGTGAATCATTCACTCAGTTGTTTCCTGGTTTGGTTTTGCTGTGGTAATTGGCATTGGAGCATGAAAATGTAACTATCAAAATATGGTCCTTTTGGTGTAAAATTTCACATTTCTCTTGAGAAGAGATTTCATGTTTATAATATGCCTTTCTCAACCTCTGGACCAAAATGCTTCAACAAAATAATTTTGGATTATAATCATACAGGGCAATGCAATAACAGAAATAACTGGTGCACAACAACTGGAATGTTAGCCTGGGTTGAGGATACTAGGAAAACCCAGGCTTTTTTGTTTTTAAAAGGTACCAGGAAGTTTTCCAGCCCCTCGTAACACTACTAGGGCCTCCATTTTGTGGGCTCGTTGTTTTACCACATGTCTGACTGCTGCAGTAGTTCTTCAGTCAAGAAAAGTTTGGAATTGCTATCCTTTTGACTCAAAAGACTGCTGCCACTGAGCACCAGCGAGCGCAACTGCCTCACTTGGTAATGTTCCTGCCTCAGATAGTAGTACTCTTGCTTCTAACTTGCCACAACCACAGAAAGAGCATTCACACAGCTCAAAGCAGCTTGCTAGTCAGCCTATAACATCATTCCACCACTCCATACCAAACTCCAAGGGTGGAAACAGTGAAGATAAATAAAGTCATCTCTGGCTATTGTGTGTTGTTTCTTTGTTCTTTATTCATTCACAGGATGAGGGCATTGCTGGCTAGGCAGCTTAAAGTCAATCAGAATGCTGTGGGTCTGGAGTCACATGTAGGCCAGACCAGCTAAGGATAGCAGTTCACCTTCCCTAAAGGACAATAGATTCATGGTCATGATTGGACTCTTAATTCCAGATATTTAATTGAATTCAAATTCTACCCTTTACCATTGCGGGATTGGAACCCATGTCCTCAGAAAATTATCTGGATCTCTGGATTAACAGTTCAGCGATTAATACCAGTAGGCCATTGCCTCCCTGTGTCGTAACTAAATGAAGGTAATGAATTAATGTAAAATTAAAGCGTAGGATGTTTTGGATTGTTTGTGCAGTGATGTTGGTATTAAGAAGCAGCAGCTTAAAGCAGAGACCTGCCTTCAGTGTCTGAGGGCTTTCTGATGAGATTGCTCATTGCTGTTTCCTACCCCTGCTTTTTTTCTCCTGTTGTACAAGCTCAGGCACCAATGCAGTGGAACTGATGGTTGCTGCTCATTCCTGCTCCCTTCCCATCAGCATCTTCCATCCTGTCACATGGCAGTGATTCTTGTTGGTAGCTGTTTCTCTAACACATTGCAGCATTTCGACATTGGCTAATTTTAGGTAATGGCTCTGGCTAATTTTAGGTAATGGCTCACTTCAGTCTGAAGTTCTGCTTCAGAGGCAAGTACAATTTCACCAAGTGGCCAATTTATTTTTTGAGCCAAGACACTGAATGGGTGGTGGTGGAGGTAGGCTGATGGGCCGCAGGAGGTATCATTTCTTTTGGAAGGATCATAGTGGAGGTCAGTCCTGTCCTCGTCCTACCTGCACTATGCAGCAGCAATGTGGAAACCACACCTGGGCAGGAGGAGTTTATTCTCTACCCTCGCACTGCAGGCTGCAAGCAAAGCCATTTCTTGGCAGGGATCAGTAAAGGGGGCTCTTGGAATATTCCTATTTTTCAATTTTACAGGCATAACATAAAGCTTTTTAAATGATATTTTTGGTGACCAGTCTTATTCTGAGTTGAGTTGATTGTTTACTGAGCTCGGGAGTGCTTAGTTATTGACCCAGCCCAGCATGTGTCTCACACACACTGCAATCGAGCCAAGCTGTATGCAGGCTGACAGGAACACCCTGTTTGAGGTAGAATGCAGCATCCTGTTACTTATAATAGTCAACCATGCGCTAGATTTTCTTTATTCTTTTATGGCCTGTGAGCTTGTTAGCAAATTGTTAATTGCTCTTGCAACTAAGTAACTTGTCTAGAGGCCAGTGAAGAATCAGCTACTCAATTGTGTAGTGGCCAGATCAGGTGAGGATAGTAGAGTCATAGAGCTGTACAGCATGGAAACAGACCCTTCAGTCCAACTCGTCCATGCTGACCACGTATCCTAAATTAAATCTAGTCCCATTTGCCAACATTTGGCCCATGTCCCTCTAAATTCTTTCTGTTCGTATACCCATACAGATGCCTTTTAAATGCTGTTATTGTACCAGCCTACACCACTTCCTCTGACGGCTTTTTCCATACATGCATCACTCTCTGTATGGAAAAAGTTGCCCCTTAGGTCCCTTTTAAATTTTTCCCCTCTCATTTTAAACCTATGCTGTCTAGTTTTGTACCCCACCCCCCACCCCGGGCACAAGACCTAGACTATTCACCTTATCCATGCCCTCCCTATGATTTTATAAACATCTATAAGGTCACCTCAGCCACCAATGCTCCAGGGAAAGTAGCCACATCCTACTCCACTTCTCCCATAGCTCAAAACCTCCAACCCTGGCAATATCCTTGTAAACCTTTACTGAACCCTTTCAAGTTTAACAACATTCTTCCAATAGCAAGGAGACCAGAATTAAATGCAGTACCCCAAAAGTGGCCTGACCGATTCAGCATGACCTCCCAACTCCTATACTCAATACTAACCAATACAGGCAAGCATGCCAAATACCTTCTTCACTATCCGATCTACCTGTGACTCTACTTTCAAGGAACTATGGACCTGCACCCCAAGGTCCCTTTGTTCGGCAACACTCCCCAGGACCTTACCATTAAGTGTATAAGTCCTGCCCTGCGCCTGCCCTGCTTTGCTTTCTCAAAATGCAGCAACTCACATTTTTCTAAATTAAACTCTATCTGCCACTCCTTGGCCCATTGTCCAATCTGATCAAAGTCCTGCTGTACTTTGAGGTAACCTTCGTGGCTGTCCACTACACCCCAAATATTGGTGTCACCTGTAAATTTGCTGACCATACCTCCTATATTCACACTGCAAATCATTTATATAAATGACAAACACCAGTAGACCAACCACCAATCCCTACAGCACACTGCAGGTTACAGGCCTCCAGTCTGAAAAGCCACCCTCTGTCTCCTGCCTTCTAGCCAATTTTGTATCCAATTGGCTAGTTCTCCCTGTATTCCATGTGATCTAACCTTGTTAATCAGTCTACCATGCAGCACCTTGTTGCACACCTTACTGAAGTCCACATATACAACATCCACTGCTCTGCCTTCATCAATCCTCTTCCTCACTTCTTCAAAAAAGGTTGCCTTCCCTAAAAAACATTGTTGTAAAAACCGTGCATCCTCGTGGTCACCAGTACAAACGTTAACTTTATAATTCCTGCCTTTTAAAAATTAATTTAAACTGATTTCCATGATGGAGTTTGCACACATGTCCCAGATCCTTAGGCTGTATCTCTGGATTTCTAGTCAATTTGACCATTGAATGGCTGAGTGGAATCAAAGCCCTGAATGCCCTATTACTGCTCCCATGTGTTTATGGTCATCACCATTTTCCCCCCCAGTGGGGGCCTTTGTGGTGCAGTGGTTGTGTCCCTACCTTTGCGCCAGCAAGTCTGGGTTCAAGTCCCACCTGCTCCAGAGGCGTGTAATAACATCTTTGAACGGGTTGGAAATTGATCTACTTGGTTTAAGTGGATACATAACATCACTACATGTATAATAATGAACAGTCTGCAATGTTATAAACAGTTGATGTACATCAACAGTGAGATGTGACATAAAAAGACACTGGTGTCCTGTGACATTGACTAATATATCTGTTGCACTTGTGTTTCACCTTGTAACTTGTTATGTACTGGATACCACAGACAACAGTGTAACATACACAAGAGTAAGAGAAACAGGACTATGATACATAGGCAGTATCACATGTACAGATGTGTATGTTACACTGTGAAGCACAGCCTACACTTTCGAAGCTCTGACTGACACTGCTTGGTGACAATGTACGTGGTCCTTGAGAGCTTTTCTCCATTGAATTTTTCTGGATTAAATCTCTGATATGTAAAGTACCTGGTCCTGCGCTATGGTTGCTGCTCTGGGACCAAAACATACAAAGAACGAAAAGCTTTGCACTGTTCCCTGACCAGATCTCAGCTCAGTGTCGTTGAAGTGGTTTCTAGGTACATGCATGCATGTGTTTTGTTTTATATAATTTCTTAAAAGAAAAGATTCTGTAATTCATCCTGCCTGTTTATAAAGAACGTATACACACAAAATCACTGGCATAGAACATTCATTTCTAAAGGGCTGTGGGTGAAAGTTATCCACGAGTTTTTAACTCTCATTTTATTGGTGCTGTTGATCCTGGTAAATCCTCCTAAGCAGTCACGAAAACAAAACTCGATGTAAACTGTGGGTGATCTGATCCCAGGTCAGTTCCTGTAGGGGGTTTTCCAACTACAGTCTTAGGCTGTTAGAGTTCGTCAATAATCGCAGTGATACTTTGGAAAACATCATCCTCTGTTCCTTCTCCTTGGATCTGAAAAAATGACCAAGATCACGGATGTAATCAATGGTGGTTATATTATACATCAGTTCTTCAACAGAATACCATTTACTCTTGCAGGAATCTCGCCTCCCACCACACTCGCTCTTTAAGCTAACTCGGTAATACAACTTGCATGTAACTATCCATCCCCACAAGATGAGAGGGATATCAGTATCCCAAGGATGAATTTGAGTGTAAATACTCAGAGCAGGAGGTCAAAGCACAGAAAGGACATTATCCCTGAATCGACCTTATGAACCTCTCACTGTTCCTCAAAGTTAAACCAACTCCAATGGTTAAAACCCACCAATGTGTCTGCTGTTCACCATGATTGACAGTCATAGTCTCAGGATAAGGGAGCAGCCATTTAAGTCATTCTAAAGGGTTTTGAACCTTTGGTATTTGTTACTGCATCAGCTTGTAATGGAATATGGTCAAGAGTGAGGTTGGGCATCAGAGAGAAAGTAGAGGGGGGGTGGTGTTGGTGTGGAGTAGGCAGAAAAGATCAGCCGTGTTCTGATTGAATGAAAAGGCTGTTTGCACCAACCGTCCTCTAACTCAGGTTCCTGTTTTCATTTTATTCAACAAGGAGCAGTAGCTGAAGATGGACCAAAAAAAGCTGCACTTCAGAACAATGGAAGAGAAAATGGTATCGACTCAAGGGGCAGATGACAGGATAAAGTGCTGCTAATGGTCTCCTGGATGGAGGGATTGAGCCCAGGTTTATAATGACTCAGCTGTGGACCAGCGCCCTGCCACATTCCATCAGTTCATACCCTGCCTTGGGAATCTAGAAAACCTATTACCCTGACTCATCACCTGGTGCTTTTACCAAAATGATTTGGTGAGAAGACAGTCATGTTTTATTTTACCTTCTTCAGAAGTCCTTTAGCATCATAATGTTTCACAACAGGTACAGAGTCGACAAAGTAAGATTCTACCCGTTTGGCTATAGTCACTTCGTTGTCATCAAACCGCTCACTGGTCTGTCCACGGTTAATCAGCCTTTCCTTCATAACTTCAGGGCTGCAGTCAATGAGCAGCACAACAGTGGGAAGTGTAAACTGAAGAGAAAGACAGTGAGAGAGCTCCTTCAGGTTAATCCATCTATAACAAAAAGTCTCATTTACTTCACCAGGACCCTCTCATTTACAGATCAGACAATGAATTGGTAAACTGAGTGTTAAGGATCTGACCAAGTTTCCTCAAGACTCTTCATTTAAATTGGTCAATGAGACCAGGAACCATTACATCCCAGCAGGAGTTGGAAAAGAATCAAGGACCTTGCATCTTTATAGTGCCTAATTTCACTACTGAACCGCCCAAAATGCCAACCATCCAATGAAGACCTAACTGAAGTGAAATCACTGTTGTAATGCAAGAAACACAGCAGTCATTTTATGCACAGCAAGCTCCCACAAACAGCAATGTGGCAATGATCAAATTATCTCATTGACTGATGCTGATTGAGGGGATAAATATTGGCCGGGGCACTAGTGAGACCTTTAAAATACTGCTGTGGGATTTTTACAGACACTTGAGAAGGCCCATGAGAATCTGACATCAGAAACTGAACTGGACTTGCCATAAACACCCAATGGTAATAACAGCAGGTCAGAGGCTGCGAATCTTGCAGCAACTAACTCACCTCCTGAACCTGGCCAGAGCCTGTCCACCATCTACAAGGCACAAGTCAGGAGTGCGATGGAGTACTCCCCACTTCCCTGGATGGGTGCACAGCCCGCTCGATTGGCACCATTTACACATTCACTCCACTGCTGACGCTTAAACATAACAGTGTGTACCATCTACAATATCCACAGCAGAAATTCATCACGGCTGTTTGGCAAACACCTTTCACCAACACTCCCATCTAGAAGGACAAGGGCAGCAGATACATGGGAACACCACCACCTTCAAGTTCTCCCCCAGCTCTAGCCCTAACCAACCATCCTAACTGGGAAATATATCGCCGTTCCTTCACTGTGACACGGTCAAAATTCAGGAATTCCCTCCCGATGGGCATTATGGGTCAACCTACACCACATGGACTGCAGCGGTCCAAGAAAGCAGCTCACCCCCACCATCACCAACTAGAGATGGGAAATAAATGCAAGCCCAGCCAGCAATGACCATTTCCCATGATTCAATTCAAAAACGTCGGCAACAACTTATCCAAACAGCAATAACTGATCTCAGCACTGACCCTCCGACAGTGCGGCACTCCCTCAGCACTGACCCTCCGACAGTGCGGCGCTCCCTCAGCGCTGACCCTCCGACAGTGCGGCGCTCCCTCAGCACTGATCCTCCGACAGTGCGGCACTCCCTCAGTGCTGACCCTCCGAAAGTGCGGCGCTCCCTCAGCACTGATCCTCCGAAAGTGCGGCGCTCCCTCAGCACTGATCCTCCGAAAGTGCGGCGCTCCCTCAGCACTGATCCTCCGAAAGTGCGGCGCTCCCTCAGCACTGA